TAATTTATGTTCCTAACATGGAAGCATGAAAGTACCTATTTCTCCACACATGATAGTGAGAATTATTGCTAATGAGACCAGGGCAAAGGATAGGTAGCTGATTATCAAAGAAAAAGGAAATGGGTAGATAGCATTTCCCCATCAACTGGTTGAGGGGAAGGATTGCACTTTCCAACAGACGCATTTACCCCCCTGGACAGCTCTTTTCCTGTCTTTTGGGCAGGTATGGAGAATAGGGAGAGGTAACCCTTGGGTGGCTCTTTTCATACCTTTTGGTTAGGCAAGATAGGAGGAGGAGGGGGCATGAGAGGAAAGGAAACCTGGGGTCTATAAAAATCTAAGACGCCCCCACTCCTATGGGCCCCAGCTCTGGGTCTACAGCTCTTCTCTGGAAGAATCTCTCCTTTCTCCCCCCCTTTCTGTTCTGTATCTTAAATAAAATTTGCTTTCTACTCTTGCCTTGGCAATTTTCAGGTGTTTAATCTTCAACACTGATGGAACAAGCCCCTGATCCTGATTTTCAAGACCAGTATCACTAATCTGATACTGAAAGGATCTTACATCCTTGTTATCAATATCACTTATTTTTGCTACATCCTAGAAATCCATCCTACAGATTTAAAATAATCAATGGTCACGACACTCTGTTATTCAGAGTGTTTTCATAGTCCCTGTTTTCAACCCTCTGTGTACGTAATTTCACAGTACATACTGCTAAAGGACACAGTTCAGGGCAGAGGTCATGTCATTATTTGCAAGGTGAGATGAATGTATTCTATTTGAGCCCAGCAAACTCTCTTGGAGAATTCTAATTTGAGCTTGGTTTCTATAGGAGCTTGTTTATGCAGGAAGTTTACTTATGTGAGTAACTGAGAGCGCCTGTGCACTGCACACATGTGGTGACAATGACATTTCCCTAGTTTTTGTGCCTTCATGACTTTGCATCCTATTTGGCCTCCCTTCTTACATTCAGGTCCAGAAGGGAATTCTTGGCATGGCATCTTTAAAACCTGAGCATTATCAACATCTTTTATTCCATCCTGAAGATCAACTTCTGAAAGAGATAGTGTTGGTGCAAAATCTGTGCACTTTGGAGCCCTATAATAAGTACTGCCATCCTGACATTCATAAAGGTGGTACTGCTTATACTGCCTAAGGCCACAGAGGAGTAAGGAAAGTAACAATGCTGATAGTCTGTCACAGAGGATAGGCCTTGGACCCTGTAGTGGACCAGCTATCAAACCAGTGCTGCAGGTGGAAGTGATGAGACATAATTAGCTTTTGCACAAATGAGCAACCCAAGGGAGCATAGATGGTGGGAGGGAGTGAGGACAGTCATTGCTTGGAGTTACGCTGGACATAGAGTCATCATGGTAGGATACAGCCACAGTTTTAGTCATATTCATGTTTATCAAATAAATGTGCATAAAAAACTTGGGTAAGAAAAAGTCTGAGTGTTATTATGATACAACAGAAGCTCATGGCAATATTGTATTTTTCACAGCTTTCTTGCAATATAATTTGAAAACAATACAATTACCCATTTACCATTTTAAAGGTACAGCTTAATGGCTTTTAGTATATGTATAGAGTTTTAGCACCTGAATTTTAGATATTTTCATCTCCCTAAAAATGTGATATTGTGCTCAGAGCAGTTAAACCCTGATCCTAACCTCAGCCCAGGGAAACAAAACTCTGGATTTTCCTATTCCAGACATTTCATACAAATAGAACTACACAATATTTGGTCTTTTGCATCTGACTTCTTCACCTTTTTTATGGTTGATCTTTATTATAACATATTAGTATTTCATTCCTTTAATTGATTAAAAAATACAGCGCTTCATTTTATTTATCCATTCACCAAGATGGAAACATATGGGTTATTTCCACTCTTTGGTTGTTGTGCATGTTGATGATGCTACATACATTCCTGGGCCAGTTTATATGTAGATATATATCTTCATTTATCTTGGGTGTGCACCTAGGAGTGTAATGATGACACATATGAGAACTCCCTGTTTAATGGTGAGAAGAAATGCAAGACTGTTTTCATGACCTTGGCAGCCTTAAGAAGCATTGGCTTAGCCTTTTATTTTCACCAGATTAGACCAAGGTCATGGGTTTTAAGAGGAAACACCAGGATTTAAAGTACATCCTCATCGTATTATATCTGGGAATAAGGATATCCATGTGATATCACTGGGGATGCTAACATTCATCACTTGGTTAAGGTGATGTTTGCCAAGGTTCTCTAGTGGACAGTGACTGTGTTCCATCTGCTTACTGTCATTGCAAGTGAGCTACTAAATCAGTTCTGCCCTCAGGGGTTGGGATCAGAATTAATCTTCACCTCATGGAAGGCAGGTAGCAGCATATGTTAATGTGGAATTATTGAATGAAGATAATTTGTCTCCTCTTACCTATTCCTTCAGCCATTTGTTTATATCACTTTGGATTTATGTGCTATAATTATATAGGTTGTGTCATTTCATTCAAAGGAAATGCCAGCATCTTGATTTTTGTGGGGCAGCCTAGAATGTGAGTTTCTAGGGAGATCAGAGCACCCAGATTCCTGGCAGCAGCAAGACACAAAGCTTTAGTGAGACTCCAGGCTCCACTACCAACAAGTATTAAAAAGTTTCCCTGATTTACATAAACATTTCCAACTTCATATAACCCAATTTAAACTGTAGATTTAATAACAAATCACTTAAATGAAGATTCATATTAGAAGAGATATAATAGTTTGGTTATATTAGTTTAAACACTAAACATCTGGGGGCTGTGGTTATAGCTCAGTGGTACAGCACTTGCCTAGCACATGTGAGACACTGGGTTCACCATATAGAAAATAAATAACATGAAGGTATTTTGTTCATATATAATTAAAAATACTAATCATCTGTTCTAGATGAAATACCTGTTATTTTGATTCAGCCTCTGTCTGTCTGCTATCATTAAGCCTTGTGGCCCATCATTGACATGAAGTCATTGGGGATATTAAACTTTTCATCATTTTATTGATGAAAAGCCCCATGAGGAGGCTTTTAAAACATTTTCCCCTCATACACTTCCCAGAATATAAAATGTTGATATCATGGATGGAATGTTAACTGTGTGTTGTAGTTCTTTGTAGTGTCACAAACAATTATAATATGTACCATCCCCCTACCCCTGAGAACCAGTTTGAAGCCTCTTGTGGGCAATATCATCCCTGTTGAGAATGCATGTAACATTGAAATCAGAGCAAAATATGGAACCCTATTCCTGCCCCTTAGTTGAGATGTGGTGCTGGAATCCTTCCTTAGCCTTTGTCAGTCTGAACATGGTCATCTGTTTAAAGGGAGTCACCATGCCCTCCTTACATATTTGTAAGGGTCAAAGAGAAATCCTATTCACAGTGTATGGTGTGGAGTTAGATTTCAACCAGCGTTTGTCTTGGCAGAAATTTCTCCTCTCCCAGAGAAGTGATGAAAGTTACCTAAATCAAAGAGCACACTTGCCCTGGAGGCCACCATCTGGATGTAGCAGAAAGAAGCAGCACATCCCCCATTTACATTATGAATCAAGATTTGGGGCTTCTCAGTGTTACAGGAGGGCCTTGCTGAGAAAGAGGAAAAGAGTTGACCAATTTCATTTAATTCCTCATCATTTTCTGTCCCTTTGATATTCTAATTTGATGTTGGGGAAACAGTTTCCCATATAGCCTCACTGGAAAGGAAAGTGCAGATAAAGAGGACGCAGGGATCCTAAAACCTTGACACTAGGTCCATTACCACCTACAGGACCCTACGCTGGAATTTCATTTGCACCATCAACTTTTTCAAAGAGGGGTTCTTGGAAGAGTACCCACTTGGACGCTGCTATTATCATTATTTTTCAGTTTGAGACAGAGGCTCTCTAAGTTGCTTAGGGGCTTGCTAAGGTGCTGAGGCTGCCTTTGAATTTGGGATCATTCTCCCTCCACCTCCCCAGTAGCTGAAATCTTGGTAATAGCCACATTCTTAGTCCCAACAACCTGGGCAGAGCGCTCCCAATTACCAGCATCCTCAAGTGCTTTCTCTAATTAGCATGTTTCTCAGGTACCCTGAAGGGTAAAGGCATATTGTTTTAAAGGAGAAACCGGGGGACAGTCAGGAAGACTGCGCAAAGCATTTCAGATTTTAGGAAGAGCCTGCGCACCACTATTGCCATAGAAACCTGATGTCATTATGGCGACTTTGGTGACTGACGACATTCTAAAAGAGGCCAACTTGCTCGGGTTCGAGGGCAGGGCGCCTCCTTTAGGAGTTTGGGCCCATCTGAGTCTCAGCCTAGTTCCTCTAAATAGTGCACTTTCCCAGGTGGGGGCCTGGAGAGTGAAGCTGTCCTGCTTCCAGAGAAAGGTTAGGGGATTAATAGGACACCGGCCCAGAGGCATCTCTGGGGCGGGACCAACCAAAATCGCGGTTGCCATAGAAACCTGACGTCATGAATGCGACTATTCGAAAGGAGACCGACCTGTTATCCTGAGAAGAGCAGCGTCCAGCCTACAGGTTTTGGTTCTCCGAAGAGGGCGTGGGTTTCTCCGGGTGCGGGCTGAGCCTCCCTGGGGTGTGGGGAGACGAAGAGATCCCTGGCCCAAGTCGCCTCGTTCCCGCTCTGGGTCTTGGTCCTTTGCTGACCGGAGAGGGAGAGAGACTTGGGGCCTTCCTGGCCCCAGGCAGCGTGATGTCCTGCTTCAGGGGTGGCCTGGACCTCCTTTCCATGTAAAGGCAGGGCACGGGAGGGTAAGACAGGGAAGCACCCTCCACTAGGCTTCTCTGTAAATTGGGGGCAAGAATGCTCAACCACGGGATTGGCAGAACTTTCGAAGATACCACACGTATAAGCCCCATTGCTCTGTGGTTATTGTGGGATCACGAATGCTCACTTAAGTGCCTAGCATGGTTCCACAGATATAGTTATTCCAATAAAGCATAGTAGTCATTTCTGGATTCTTTCCTTCCTCTGGGCAGCTCTTCCTCTGGTAACTGAGCTCATATTAATTGTCTGAAGAAGACAGTTTCTGAAGATGTGTGCCATGATGGCTGCTGAAGCTTCTACTCCAGATCTGAAGAGCAAGCAGTGCTCAGGAGGCCCCCCAACACTTCCATCTCTGGTAAGATATAACACTGTCTTAAATGATTTCATAGATCTGAACAAGAGTACATAGTGAAATAGCACACATGAGGTTCACAAAATATCCATAAAGTAGAGAAGCTATTTTAATCTCTTCCTTGAAGAGGTTCAGCAGGTAGAATTTGCCTTTAGCAGGTACTATGCTTTATAGTAATCCTTGAGACCCATCTTTGGAATGCCTTTGCTTGTCACAAAATAATGACTAGTTTAGCTAAAGAACGTGCTGTTTAACACGCATTTAAATATATTCTCTATTAATGATAATGAACAAATCTCATATACTTCTCATGAGTGTGGAAATAAGTAGTTGACTGCAAGAAAGACCTTTTAGGAATTTGAAATTGTAACATGAAAACTTCCCAGGTAGCTACAGTTTTATCCACTGTCTGATTATTTTTAGGCCTGAAATGTTTTAAGAGTTACCTTAAAATGTCCTTTATAAAAATTTAATAATTTTAAAATAACAATTCCTAGTAACATATACCAAATGACCAGGTGCTCCTAAATCATTATATCCCAGAATATCACATTTTCAGTTAACAGATAAGTTTTGATTTCTTGTAATTTCATTTAAATAGAATCAGATGGCTTGTACTTCTAAGATCTCACTTGTTTTATTCAGCTTACATATTTGTTTTAGTTTTTTAAATTATCTTACCCATGAATACATGAAACAGCAGAAGCATTATTTCTCAATACTTGGACAGGATTCTTTTAGTATTCAACACATACTATCCACTGGAGGAAGACTTTTGTAGGAAACGGAGATTACCAATTCTCTTGTGAAGCACCTCAATATCCATTTTATATACACTGAAAGGAAAATATTTAATAGATTTATCTACAAATGTAGGAATATAATACTTTACAAGTGAATATAACAATTTGGAGTTATTGAGTATGCTGCAAGAAGATAGTCCATGTAGACTAGGACAAGGGCCTTTGCTAATAAAAATCCTGCCTGCACCTTACTCTCCAACCACCCTGTCTCCAGAACAGTTAGAAATGAATGCTTGTTATTTAAGCCAACCAGTTATGGTATTCTGTGATAGCAGCCATGACTAACTAAGGAACAATTGCAATATTACTATTTTTCCCTGTTGTAAAGGAAGTTTTTGGGCTTTAATGGTGATAAAAATCAAACCATAGCATTGGCTTGTGTTCCAGATTATTTTTGTTTTGCACCTACATATTTAGTACCAAGAATAAGAAAACGTGAGTAAGTTAATAGGAATCACATGAATATATGTATTTCAGTAATTTAAAAAGAGGTATTCCATGTAACATAAATCTTTACATGTAATTTCTTTCATTCTTATTCACTAACAATATAAATTTGTATCCTAATTACTGAAGATTTTAATAAATAGATCATTCTATATAGATTTAGTGATAGTGGTCTCCAGCAGAAACTTTTGCTCTCCTTTGCGGAGTATAGTTTTCAGATTTTAGGGGGTGGTTAGAATTCACAACAATATATTTTTAAAATATTTTTTAGTTGTAGATGGACACAACACTTATTTTAAAATATTTTTTTAGTTGTAGTTGGACACAACACTTTAATTTTTATTTATTTATTTTTATGTGGTTCTGTGGATCGAACCTAGCACCTCATATGTGCTAGGCGAGTGCTCTACCGCTGAGCCACAGCCCCAGACCTGGACACAGTACCTTTTATTTATTTATTTATTTATTTATTTATTTATTTATTTATTTATTTATTTATATGTGGTGCTGAGGATTGAACCCAGTGGCTCATATGTGCTAGTCAAGAACTCTACTGGGTGCAGCCAATTTTGAAAGCAGTATGGAGATTTCTTGGAAAGTTGGGAATGGAACCACCATTTGACCCAGCTATTCCCCTTCTCGGTCTATTCCCTAAAGACTTAAAAAGAGCATGCTACAGGGACACTGCTGCATCGATGTTCATAGCAGCACAATTCACGACAGCAAGATTGTGGAACCAACCTAGATGCCCTTCAATAGATGAATGGATAAAAAAAAATGTGGCATATACACAATGGAGTATTACTCTGCATTAAGAAACGACAAAATCATAGAATTTGGAGGGAAATGGATGGCATTAGAGCAGATTATGCTAAGTGAAGCTAGCCAATCCTTAAAAAATAAATGCCAAATGACTTCTTTGATATAAGGGGAGTAACTAAGGACAGAGTAGGGATGAAGAGCAGGAGAAGAAGATTAACATTAAATAGGGATGAGAGGGGGGAGGGAAATGGAGAGAGAAGGGAATCTGCAAGGAAAGGGAAGGTGATCCTCAGGGTTTTATAAAATTACATACAAGAGGAAGTAAGGGGTAAGGAAGAAGTACACAAGTGGAATAAATGTTTTACAGTAGAGGTGGTCGAGAGAGGAGAGGGGAGGGGAGGGGAGGGGTGGGGGGATAGTAGATGATAGGTTAGAGAGCAGAATTCATCAGACACTAGAATGGCAATGTGTAAATCAATGGAAATGTAACTGATGTAACCGATGTGATTCAGCAATCTGAATACGGGGTAATAATAGAAGTTCATAACCATTCTGAATCAAATTGTGAAACATGATATATTAAGAAAGATGTAATGTTTTGAAAGACCAACAATAAAAAAAAAAAAAAACTTTAGCCAACTTAAAAAAAAAAAAAAAAAAAAAGAACTCTACTGGGGCTGGGATTGTGGCTTAGTGGTAGAGCGCTCGCCTAGCATATGCGAGGCCCTGGGTTCGATCCTCAGCACCACATAAAAAAAAATTAAATGTGTCCAACTAAAAAATAAATTTTTTTTTTAAAAAAGAACTCTACCACTGAACTACGACTCCACCCCCACAAAACAATATTTTTTACAACTTTACTTTGTTGCACTATACATGGCTTGCATTGGAAAAAATAATATCTTTCTACCCGGTTTCCTGTGATTCCAGGAAAATGCTATAATGAGAGGATTTCAGCTCAGAGTTTGTTCATATCTTGGCTACCATCACCGCTTCCTTCAGTTTTTGCATGCTTTAAAAATTGAGAGAAAATGTACATAACATAAAATTCATCATTTTAACCATTTTAAAATGTACAATTAAGTGTTTTTTAGTATAATCACCATTTTGTACAACCATCACCACCATTTGAATTTTTTATGGTGCATTATGGCCCTGGATGTGGTCCGTCTTGGTGAATGTGCCTTGTGAGCTTGAGAAGAGTGTGTATTCTGCTATTTTTGGATAAAGTATAGATGGTCTTCAATTTATGATGGGGTCATATCACAATAAACCCTTCATAAGTTGAAAATATCAGAAGTCAAATATGCACTTAATATAACTAAATTACTGATCATCATAACATTGTCTAGGTATTTTTTTTTTGCAGGGGTGGGGGTTGTACTGGGGATTGTACCAAATGGCACTTAATGACTGAACTTCATCCTAAACAACTTTTATTTTTTATTTTGAGATGGGGTTTCACTAAGTTGCTTAGGGTCTTGCTGAGTTTCTGAGGTTGATCTTGACTTCCAATCCTCCTGCCTCAGGCTCTCTAGTCACTGGGATTACAGGCATGCACCACCATTCCTGCTTTGCCTAGCTAACTTAAAAGTGTGCACTACACTTATATTAGCTTAAAGTTCAGCAAAAGCCATCAAAATGTTTTTATAATAAGATATTGAATATCTAACATAATTTCATGAATACTATATAGAATGTATTTTTAAAAACCCAGAATGATAGTATGGGTATGCTTTTGGACCATCAGCTGGTCAGTTCAGAGGTCAAACCATCATAATTTCAGAACATCTATATTCTACAGGTCCATATCAATGATAGCTAGTCAGTTGGTGGTGCTGTTGAATTCTACTGTGACCTTACCAATCTTCTACCTGTTGGATCTGTCGATTTCTGATAATGAGGGTGTTGTTGACGACAGGGACATTCTTTGTTCCACTATGCTGGGCAAGAATTCTTCCCATTGACTGAGTCTAAGCCTAGTTCCTCTAATTAGTAGACTTTCTCACCTGTCCTAAAGAGTGAAAGTGTTTTGCTGTCAGAAAATGGCAGGGGACAAAGAGGAGGACTGTGCAGAGGCATTTCTGATGCCTTGGTCCATCCTGGGAATCACAGTTGCCCTAGAAACCTTATGTCATTATGGCAACCATGATGAGCATGCTGAAAATTTAAAGGAGATCAACTTTCTCTGGTAGAAAGAGCAGCGTCCTGCCCACTGGTTCTTGGACTAGGGTCTGGGTTTGGGGAGGTAAAGGGATCTCAGACACAATTTGCCTTATTCCTGTAATGCACTTACTTGAGAGGGACAGAGATGTGGGACCCTCCTAGCCGAAGGTAGTGTGATGTCCTGTGTGGATACTGAGGGATTGTAAATCCCTGTATGAATTTAGTCCACTTCTTATTTCTTTTCAAATTTAGAGGATCAGAGATGAGAAAAAGTGAAGGAAAAGGTCCTGGTGAAAAGCACACGATACCTTCTGGTTGTTATGATCACTACCTAGTTGTACCCGTGCCATTGGTCACTGAGCCAATGCTTCCTTCCAGTTTTGAAACTTGGTGCTTCATTGGGAAGGAGATGTGGGGCTAGGGACTGTTATGTCCTAGACCTACCTTCCACATAAAAGTGGATCAAGAATTCTTACCCTTTGGATTGCTGGGACCCTCAGTGATAACACATGCTTCTATAATAGTGATCTCAAGTCTCTCTCAGATTGAGGTTGAACTATGCAGTTCATTGGATAGTCTTCCTTGCAATTTGAGATTTAATGTGACCATGTATTCTTTCATGGTCACCACATTTTTGTCCATTGGTACTTGAGATTTTACCCAAGGACACCTTATTTCTGAGCCATATCCCCAACCCTTTTTAGTTATTTTATTTTATTTTTGAGACAGGGTCTCACTAAGTTGTATAGGATCTCACTAAGTTGTGGAGTCTGGCCTGGAACTTGTAATCCTAGTTTGAACCACATGAGTCTTTGGGAGTACAGGTGTCTACCATCCTGCCAGCTCTTTTAAAAGAATTTTTAAAAGAAGCCAGGAAGTTATCAAGTGTTAGTTCGAATGTCACGTAGAAGAATTCACTATTTTCAAAAGTAATATCATATATTTGTTCTCTTATAATAATACTAGCTATGAACACTTAAGTAACCAGGTAGACCTCAATATTATTCTCATTATTTTCCAGGACATAACATTTTCAGTTCTGTCGTAGCTAGCTTTCATACCACACTAATGCCCTGTGTCCAGGCAAGCACAGCACTTTTGTTGCCATAGATTAGGTTTCAGGTCTAAATGGAATCATAGAGGTGTTTGTGTTTGTGTTTTAATTTGGTTTCTTTCATTCTTGCTGTTTATTTTTAGATTAATCCATTTTATTGTATTTATAAATAGTTCATTATTTAATTTATTTAATTTTTTATATTGGTGGGGATTGAATTAGGATCTTGTGTTTGTTAGGCAAGTGCTCCATCTTTGAGCTATACCCCCAGCCTGTTCATTCTTTTTTATTGCCAAATAGTATTCCAGTATGTGGCTATCCCAAAATGTTTTATATATTCACCTATTGTTGGATATATTTTTTCCAATTCAGGGCTCTTGTAAATAAAGTTGCTTTCAGCACTTTTGAATAAGTAATTTCATGTAAATATGCTTTTACCCTCCAGGACAAATATTTAGGAGTACCTGACTAGATCATATCTTAGATATAAGATTAGCATGGTAAGAACCTATCAAACTGTCTGCCATGGCTATACCCTTTTCCATGGCCACCAACAGTGTATGAGAGTTGCATCATCCACAATCCTGACAGTGCTTGGTATGGTCAGTCTTTTTAATTTTAGCCATCCTTATGAGACTGTACTAGTATCTCACTGTAGTTTTTTCTTCCCTTTTCCTAATAATTAATGATGTTGAGATCTTTTTGCACATTTGACATTTGTATATCTTCTTTAGCAGAGTGCCTATTCGATCTTTTTGCCCTTCTCTCTTGTGAATTACTATCTCAACCAAGATCTGCAATCAGACCTGTCTCCAAGGGCCCCTGGTTCCTTTTAGAGGATATGTTTAGAGGATTCAATCTGGGTAGTAGAGTTACTCATGACTATTTGGTTGCTTGATATTTATTATTCAAGTCATCACATGGATCCAGTAAGTATAATATTTTTAGGAGAATGCCACAGTCTGGCTGGGCACAATCAGGAGCCACTTGTCAAAAGAAACGAACTTTATTTTTAGAACCACACACGCCAAACAAAACTGCTCCTCAGGAAAAACCTTCAGAGCCCAACTGCCACCACCGGCTTCCCACAAGCCTCTCCACCTCCCCCACTCCTCCTGCTCTTGAGGCCGATTGGCTGGGTTGTGTGGGCGGAGCCAAAAAAAAGTCCCCCAATGAGCAGCTCCGTAGTCTGAAAGGGCGGGGAAACAGCTCAGTGAACATCACCGCAGAGGAGCCAATCAGCTAGAAGTTGCTGGGGCCGCTGTGAGCCAATCATCAGCTGGCAGTCTGAAAGTTTGCTGGGGTCCCTTCGGCTGTGGCTCTCAACAGGAGAACATGCATCATTGATTTATCATTTTAACCTTAGAATTTTAAAAATGTAAGAAAGTATAAAGTTTATATGAGTCATATTTCAAAGGTAAAATGTAGTATATTATACATTAGTCCAGTAGAGTTTCTACAGAGATGGAAACGTTTTGTATCTACATTTGTCCAACACAGCAGCCACTAGCTCTCTACGGCAATTGAATACATAAAATGTGATGAGTATGATAGAGAAACAGAAGTGTTAATTTCATATATATTTAACAACCTAAATAGCCAGGTGTGGTCAATGTATATGAGTTCGGACATGAACTGCTCCACATATTTTTCTATGCCTTGGTTTCTTACTTGGCAATATACCCTACTATCGACTGTAGAGTAGTAGATAACAGGAGTCCTCCTGGCTTATTATACCTGCAAAGTACTCTAGGATATAGATGTGCTTTAGATTATTAAGTCAATCCCTTTTTAGAGCATTCAATCTGGGTACTAGAGTTACTCATGACTACCTGGTTGCTTGATATTTCTTGTTCTATTTATCACATGGATCCAGGAAATATGTTTGAGAGAATATACATCATTGATTTTTTTTTATTTTAGCCTTAGATTTTTAAAAATGTAATAAACTATAATATTTATTTGATTCTTCTTCTAATTCATAGGTAAGAAGTAGTATATTGATAATTAGTCTGAGTTTCTATAGAGATGAAAATATGTGTGTACATTGTCCAACACAATGGGCACTTGACATCTGTGGCAGTTGAATACCTAAAATGTGATGAGTGTGATTGAGAAACAGAATCTTTAATTTAATATAAATTTAATCAACTTAAATACCCAGTTATAGCTGGTGCCTATATGAGATTGGACAACAGATGCCCTACACACTTTCTTGTGCCTTGGTTTCTTATTTGGCAATATATCCTAAGGACAAGTGTATAGTAGAAGAGAAAGGGAGTCTTCCAGGCTTATTGTACCTGCATAGTATTCTAGGATGTAGATATGTCTTAGATCATTTAGTCAATTCCTTCTTGGTGAATGTGTATCTTATTTCCAGTTTTCTACTGTTCTGATTTGTTCTGCCAGGAAAGACCTTATGCTTATTCCTCTTTCTATTTTGCTTGCATGCATGGGATAGATTCTTAGAAGAGGAATTGTGCTGATTCCAAGGGAACATATCTGTACCCCAGAAAAGAGAAGATTTGAAGCTTAAAGCATCCGGAATGTAGCAAAAGAAGCATATGTTGTTCCTATCTCATTCCTTAGATTCCATGTGCTTTCTGCTCTCTTGTAATAATGGGTTAGCTAGACTGATGCTGGGAGTCATCCAGCCTGCATTCTGGATGCCACAGCCATCTATTGACCACAAGACCTTAGCTGAGTCCTTTCACTTTGTTGACTTTTGAACTGACATAGAAGGACACTGTATATAGAAAAAGTGGTTAGCAGCCTGGCCTTTGGGGTGAGAGGGCCTGGGTGTGACCCTCTGAACTACTACTTGCTGTTTGTATGATCTAGAGCAAGCAATTTATTTATTATTTGCCCTAATATGACATCTTGTATTACTGATCATCATCATCACCCTCATGCTCATTCCACCACCCATCCAAAATGTGAATGATAAGTGTGGAGATTATACTACCATGTGTATACTACCACAAAATTTGATTTTATAACTTTTGTATTATGTAGTTTACATAGAGATTAAATGAAGTCTCTAGAAAGCTTATGAGCAGATGCACATATATTACTATGCTATAGATATGGAATTTCAAATCAGGCACATTGTTCAAGAAATGGGGCTTAGCCAGGCTAGGAGGCACATGCCTATAATCCCAGAAACTCAGGAGGCTGAGATTGTAGGATCTCAAGTTCAAAGCTAACCTCAGCAACTTAGTAAGACCCTTCCTGAAATAAAAATAAAACAGGCTGGGGATGTAGTTCAGTGGGTATGTGTCCCTGGGTTCAACCAATCCGTGTATCCAAAAACAAGAAAAGAAATGGGACTTGATCAGCTGGTACAAGACTCATTAATAGGAAAATTAGATTATATCTTATACCTTGTTGTACAGTTAGAATGATTTTATTTTAGCTTAAAATTTCAGACAAATAAAAAACCCCAGAAAAACAGAATACTATATATATAAATAATACTAGTTATATGAAATGTAGCATATGAATATTTGCATATATGTCTGCACAGAAAAAAACAATGTAATTAAATAGCCTAATGTAAATATCAGTGACAGTGAGAATGCTGAGTATTCATACTTTTAACTTCTTTACGTGATTCTGTATTAAACATTAGCAATGAAGAGGAGAGATTATATATGTTAAATTTATAGTTCCTAAAATATCTGTTACTATTTCAGGAACAGAGAACTACAAAATTAATCCAGGTAAATAAAAAATTATTACTCCTTAATTACATCCCTTTCTTTCTCTCATAAAGATAATCACTATTCACAATGAGATGATTATCACTCCTGTGCATAACTTTACCTTTTACTCAAAGAACTTTCTAAATAAAATACCATTATTTTTCTGCAATACACATGGTATTCTTATCCAGCTTGCTAGTTTACTTGACATTTTCTCTGTGTGTATGTTGATTGTAACTGATTGTTTCAGTCAAGGGACCCTTGTGAGGAGTTCATGGGGTAACCTTCAATCTCAGCATGGTATTTGGTTCATCATCCAGAAAGCCAGTGTTTGTGTCCTTTATATTCCAACTTCCCAAGTGCACCGCTCTTTAATGGGGTTATTTCTTAGCCTTAATGAGAATTGCTATACTTTAATGAGAATTTGAGAATGCTAGAAAGGTACCACACACACTCATACATATTACATAGGGAATTCAGTGCCATCTCTGTGCTGTGCAGTGTGATAGAGTTGTGATGGAAAAATTCCTCACCCTTTCATTGAATAATTATCCTCTTCCTGTATTAGTTGGGGCACTCTGTATTTACATCCATTGTGCACATGTCTTGCAGCTCGAGTACCTTCTTGGAGCTCCAGAAAAAAGTAACACTGGATCTTCAGAGAGGGACACCAAAACAAGAGTGAGAAGCTCTTCCTAGACTGTGCCTTAGCTGCCCCAGAGTGAGTTCCTTCTCCTGTCTTTGCCTACACTGTCATATAACTATTTCCTGAATTCTTGTTCTTCTTCACATCTTTAGTAGCTGAGGAGGAGGAGAGGTCTCAGTGATGATTGGTCCAGTTCCAGGTCCTTTTGGAAGTTCTGGTGACCTCTGTAGAGTCACTTTGGTATATAGGAGAAGAAGGCCTGACTGGACTTACCAAATACTTCTCAGAGTAGATCTGGTTCTGTTGCCCTGGTATGGACTTAAGGGCACCTATAACTATTATGAGGACCTATAAGTAGTCCCTTGACTCTCTAATTAGTATGCTTTCTCAGTTGGTAGCCTGAAGAATGAAGGTATTTCCTTTCAGTGAAAAGCAAGAAGATAAAGGTCCAAAGGTATTACCAGTTTGGAAGAGCATTGTTCATATTGTGGTTACCATAGCAACCTGACATCTTCATAGTGACTATGGTGACCTTTTAATAGAGACAGATCTGCCATGACTGGAATGGTAGGGATCTGTTTTTAGGTATTTGGACTCACATAAGATTAGTGGTGCCCTTAGGAGGGTGCTGAACCTCTGTGGTGTGTAGGGAGGTGAAGGGATCCCAAATCTAAGTCCATTCATTTTTGCTCTGGGACTCAGCATCTCATGAAGGAGAAAGATGTGAGCATTCCTGGCTGAAATGAATGTGGTGTCCTGCCCCAGAGTATCCTGGAGCTGTTTTCCCTGTAAAGCCAGGACACAGGAGGATAAGACACGTAGTAAGTCTCTCTGAGTCCAGCCTCCTGGTCCTACAGGATTGCTGTGACCTTCAATGATAATACCTTCTCTAATAATAATTAGTGATTCCCATGTATCTCTCTGATGAGTGTTGAAATATAAGTTGATTACAACATCTTCCTAGCATTCTTCCATGAAGCCATGTTTTTAATGTACTTTATAATGTTTTTTTAAAAGAATCCAGGAATTTATACATAGTATTAGCTAAAATTATTAAAATGTCATATATAAGAATTCAGTGTTTTCAAAAATAATGATACCATATAACATACCCTACTATAGCTCCTAAAATATCCAGATAGACCTAAATATTGTCATTCCCTAGGACATAACATTTTCAGTTTTGTAGTACCCAGTATGCATACCACTCACACTACCCTGTGGTTAGGCAGACAGACCACACCTTTTACTACAGAGTAGATTCAATGTCCTAGAAATTCATTGAAAATGAATCCCAAAGGTTTTTTGTTTGCTTGTCTTTTGATTTTGTTGATTTGGATTCTTTCATTCATCCTATTTTGGGATTTATTCATTTTGTTACATATATCAATGGATCAATATTTTTTGTTGATTCACGTAATCCAGTTTATGGATATAGAATAATTTGTTTTATCCATTCACCTGCTGTTAGATGTGGGGGTTGTTTGTAATGTGGGACTCTTGTTAATAAAGGACTTAAAAGCATTTGTGAATAAATATTTTTGTGAAATTATGCTGCTTTCTTTCACTAGTTAAATAATTAGGAGTTCAATGTCTGGATCATAACATAGATATAAGATTAACATGGTAAGAAGCTTCCAAACGGCAGTGGTTGTACGTTTTCATTGCTACTAGTATTGTATGAGGGTTGTATCCTCTAGGACTTTTCCGGTGCTTGGTGTGCTCAGTGTTTTTGACCTTAGGCCTTGTGCTGTGTTGTAGATTTCATTGACCTTTCCCCAATGGTAAAGTATGTTGAGTGTTTTTTCACAAACTTGATGTTTGTATATCTTCTTTATTGCCTTATCTATTCAAATCTTCTGGCTATTTCTCTTGTGGTGTCTTTATTTTCTTTTTATTAACTACTATGAGATTTTCAACATTTTTAGATACAAATCCTTTTACAGATATGATTTCTTAATATATTTTTCTCAACTGATGACTTGTGTATTCTCTCTTCCAACCACAAATTTGGAAGAATTGATGTTTTACATGATTTTTTTCATGTTTTCAGACACTAATATATTCTTGTTTCTATTTTGTTTTTATTTTATTTTACTTTTTTTCAAACTTTTTAGTTGTAGATTGAAAAAATACCTTTATTTTATTTATTTGTTTTTTTTAATATGGTACTGATAATCAAACCAGTGCCTCATGCATGCTAAGTGAGCACTCTACCACTGAGCCAAAACCACAGCCTCTTGTTTTTATTTTTTTTTATTTATTGGTTTGTTTTTGAGACAAGACCTCTCTACATTGCTTAGGGCCTCTCTAAGTTGCTAGTGCTGTCTTTGATCTTTTGACCCTCCTGCCTTAGCCTCCCAAGCTGCTGGGATTACAGGCTTATGCTACTATCCCCAGCAGAGCTATAGTTTTTAACTGGGAGTAATTCTAAATTCTTAAGTTTTTCAATTATTGATTATTATTGTGGTGTCTCATCTAAGATATCTGTTCCTAATCCATACTCAATAAGGATTTTCCTCTGTGTTTTTTGCTAGATGTATTGTAGGTTTAGGATTTATGTTTAGATATATGATCCATTTGAGTAGAGTTTTGTATATATATAGTATATAGATCTCAGTTAATACTTGCATATTTGGATATCCATTTTTCCCAGCACATTTTGTTGAAAAGATTGTCTATATTCTCTACTAAATTGCCTTTGTATCCTTATGAAAAATCAGTTATCCATATATGTATTGGTGTATTATTTGTAGACTCTCTGTGTTGTTCCTTTGATATACATACTTGGCTAACCTGATGCCAAAAACTTACTGTCTTGATTACTGTAGGTTCATAAAATTTTTTGAAATTAGGTAGCATGGTTCTCTAACTGTCCTTTTACAAAGTTTTTCTTTTGTATTGATCCTTTGTATTTTCATATGAGTTTTAGAATTAGCCTTCTAGTTTTTTATCCATTTTGTAGGATTTTTTATTAGGATTGCATTGAATCTATAGATTAGTTTTGGAAGAATAAATAATACTAAGTCTTATGACCCATGAAGATGGTATGTCTTCCATTTATTTAGATCTTCTTTAATGCTCTCAGCAAATATTTGTGGTATTCATTGTATCAGCATGGCACATCTGTGATCAGATATTCATAAATTTTCATAATTTTTGATGCTACCATACATGGAAATATTTTAAAGTATAATCGTTACGATATTATCATTGTACTCTCAACTACCAAATGCAACAATAGTAGTGAATAATCTTTTTGGTTGAAACCACAGTCTGGTAGTGCAGGACCACCCCTTCCGAACAGCAGACTACCACGGGAAGTCAAGCACGGTGAGCGGTCAAGACCTGTGGTTCAGATCCACCCACATCAACTTGCACAGAACCCAGATCCAGATTACAGTATCATTCATTGAGGGACCCCAGCAGGGTCTGGAAGCCCAATGTCAAGGTGAGGTACAGACAACCTGCACAGGTACTACAAGAATATAGGGAAGAAACTGTAGTATCTCAGATCCACACTGCAAGAAAGGAAGACACATAGCAACATGAAAAAACAAGGGAGGAAAGTGCCCCAAACAAACCAGGACACTATAATAACAGAACCCATGGACAGCAAAGTTGATGAAATGTCAGAGAAGGAATTCAGAAGGTTTATACTTAAAATGATCTGTGAATTAAAGAATGACCTAAATGAGCAAATACAGGCAGAAATTGGTCACTCCAACAATGAGATAAGAGAGCAAATACAGGTAGCAAATATTACTTCAAGAGAGAGAGAGAGACTCTAAAAAAAGTCAGAAATCCTTGAAATGAAGGATACAATAAATCAAATAAAACACTCAATAGAAAGCATAACCAACAGACTAGATCACTTGGAAGAAAGATCGCCAGATAATGGAGACAAAGTATACAATCTGGAAAATAAAGTTGATCACACAGTGAAGATAGTTAGAAACCATGGACAGAATATCCAAGAATTATGGGATAGTATCAAAAGACCAAATCTTAAGAGTTATTGGGATAGAGGAAGGCACAGAGTTTCAAACCAAAGGAATGCACAATCTCTTCCATGAGATAATATCAGAAAATTTCCCAAGCATGAATAACGAATTGGAAAACCAAACACAAGAGAATCTTACAGGACACCAAATGTACAAAATTACAACAGATCTACACCAAGGCACATTATAATGAAAATGCCTAGCATGCAGAATAAGGATAGAATCTTAAAAACTGTAAGAGAGAGGAATCAGATCACATATCGGGGGACACCAACTCGTATCTCAGCAGATTTTTCAACCCAGACTCTCAAATCCAGGAGATAATGGAACAACATATTCAGAGCTCTGAAAGAAAATGGATGCCAACCAAGAATCTTATATCCAGCAAAACTAAGCTTTAGATTTGATGATGAAATAAAAACCTTCCATGATATACAAAAGTTAGAAGAACTTACAAGTAGAAAGCCTGCACTACAGAACATCCTCAACAAAATAGTCCAAGAAGAGGAAATGAAAAACAATGATGAAAATCATCAGAGGGAAGGATTACACTAATGGAACATCTAATCAGAGGAGAAACCAAGTCACATTAATATCAAAAATAAACAAATGCCTGGGAATACAAATCATGTCTCAATAATAACCCTGAATGTTAATGGCCTAAACTCACCAATCAAAATACATAGACTAGCAGATTGGATAAAAAAAAAAGACCCAACAATATACTGCCTCCAAGAAACTCATCTCATAGAAAAAGACATCCACAGAGTGAAGGTGAAGGGTTGGAAAAAATCATACCACTCCCATGGACTGCTAAAGCAAGCAGGAGTTTCCATTCTCATATCAAATAAAGCAGACTTCAAGCTAAATTCAATCAAAAAGGATAAAGAAGGACACTATATATTGCTTCAGTCTGGCTGGGCACAATTCAGGAGCTACTTGTCAAAAGAAACGAACTTTATTTTTATTTTTTTATTTTATTTTATTTTTTATTGGTTGTTCACAACATTACAAAGCTCTTGACATATCATACTTCGAACAATAGTTTCGAACTTTATTTTTAGAACACAC